GCAGGTCCTGTTGGATGACTAAGCTGATGATCTGGAGTTACTGATGGTGTTCTGTGATAGTCAAAGTGACATATTCTTACCAAAAATCTAGTTCATCATGCTCGTACCAAACACATTTATGTGAGGTACCTATTTATTTGGGACTGATTGATAAAGATAATGTTCTATTGAAGAAGATAAATACGAAGAAGAATCCAACGAACATGCTAAAAAAGGTATTACTAGTCTAGAAGTTGACATAATCTAGGAGTTTGGTGAACATCCAAGCTCATGATTGATTGCCCATTTGCGTATTTTGAAAACTATGAGAGGCTTGATCCCTTATGGAGAAGGGGTACATAGGCGACCATCTTGATGCACTCCTATTGGTATTGGATCCCATTTTGGTCATCTCCCACATATTTGTAAGTAACAGATATGTGAGATGAGGTAGAGATTATTACGGAAATTTTGAAATTTAATGTTTTAATACTAGGAAGTATGTATATTACGAAGATTGATATTAAGTAACCCAATTAGATGAGATTTAATTACATGATAGAAAAGTACCACTTACACTGAAAGGAAAATTTTATAAGAAGGTGGTGAGACCTGTGATACTTTATGGTGTTGATTGTTGGCCTTTAAAAGAAAAGCATAATAATAAGTTAAGTGTTGCCGAGATGAGAATGATTAGGTGGATGAGTGGCTTTACACTTAGAGACAAAATGTGAAATAAATATATCTGTGATAGGGTGGGTGTAGCTTTTGTGACGGATAAAATTAGAGATAGTCGTCTTAGATGGTTTGGTCACATTAAGCGTCAACCATCTGATGTTTGATTAGGAGAGTAGATGTTTTAGATTCGACTTACGTTAAGAAAGACAGAGGTATTCCTAAAAAGGCTTGGACTTATTGTATAAAAAATGATATTAATTTATTAGAACTAAATGAAAATATGACACTAAATAGGACGCAATGGAGAAAAAGGATTCATGTAACCGCCCCCACATAGTGGGATTAAGACTTTGTTGTTATTTTTGTTGTTGATCTTTTCTATATTAAAAATATTCCTAATTTGTATGTCCTAATTCTCTCTTATTTATAGAAGGGACTAGGGCTGATTTTTGGGTATGAAGTTGTAACTCTATTTCAGTTTTTTTTCTCTCTCCCAGCCTACTGAAATAGTGGAATAATCTCTTCTAGCAGACGTAGGTGGATTTGCAATGAACCACAAAATCACATCATGTTTGATTGTTCTCTTATTGTGTGTTTTTTTCCAACATTGTTTTGCACAACATAATGTGCCTAAAATAATATTTGGATAGTAAATATCTAAAATTTTACATACAAATCAGTCAATTCTTATGTAATTACATAATTAACACCTAAACATTACTTTATACAATCATACCACCCAAATGATTTATATCAAATCTAATATTATCAAATCTAAAATACCACTATTTTAATTTTAAAAAGAAAAATGCACCTTTCAGTAAATAGGTAACATGACATAACATGTTAAGAAAATGCTTTGGTGTTAGAAATATATGCACAAGAATTTAGTAATATATGATATGCAGCCCACCTATCTCTTTCTCAGTAGCTAGTTTCTTTCCTAACTTATACATGTTAATAGTTCTTTATTTTCTTATATATTGCTTACCATTATGTAAAATCACTAGTATTTGATTGCTGTATGTTCAATGTTAACTTAGTAGCTTGCTTTTTATACCCTGCCAGGGGAGATGGAAAGCATTGTTATTGATATTTTCATTTCATTGGAGATTACCTTTAAGTTTCTTTCCTTTCGCTTTTTTGCTTATGGGTTGTCTAATTTTTCTCGTGTGTTGTTCCAAACCAAATTAAAGAGGACGCCAATCTTCAATAGGCTATAAGAGTCTCAACTAGAATACCATAAGATAAGCTCATACTTTCTTGGAAAGAAAGGTCGACAATTTAGCAAATGACATTCACCTTTTTGTTGCTGAGGTTAAGGCAAGAGTTGCTATCAATCAGCAGTTGTAAGAATATCAATAAGGAAACCACATTGGTGGGCATTGTTGCCACACCATTTGCAGTTCATAATATAAGAGAAAATCTTGACTGGAGGCTTTCCCAAAAGTTTGATCCACCCATTATGTTTGAACCACCTGACTCTAATGATGGGAGAATCCATTGTTGATAGACCTAATTTTTTAATCTAACTCAGAAGGAGAATATTTGATGAATGAAAATCCAATCCACTTTCATCCTCAAATAGATTGAGGTTCCTGTGAGTATAATATTAAAATTTATATGCCATTCTTTCATGAACAATTGCATATTAAGGATTATTTTGATTGGGAACAAGTGATTGAAGCATTTTTTTTAATATATGGATATCCCATTTGAAAAAGCAAGTTCTTTGTATTGCTTAAAAAACAAAAGGTGTTGTTAAAGAGTGATGGCAGCAAGTTATTCAATTTCGATGCCGAGAAGGTCAACAACTAGTCAGAAGTTGCTCTAAGATAACTCAATTGTTGTGTCGTCACTTCCTACCCTTGGTTATGTGCAGATGTTATATGTTGAGTACCAATGATGCTCGCAAGGATAACAATACGTCAGTGCCTATACTGTGAATTTTATCATCTCAATGCAAAGAGTTGCCTTAGGGAATCCAATCAACAAATTATGGCTAGATAGATCAGGGGGTTAAAGAACACTATCCAAGACAAATTAGAGTTGAATGCAATGCGGTCAATATCTCAAGCAATAAACATGAAGCTGAATTACAACTAAATATGATGCCTAGAATAACCACATATCATAAATATGCAAATGAAATTTCTACAAAAAATAGCTAAAACATAATTTTATTTCTAAGATTAGCCCACTAGAACACAAGAGAGTTACAATAACTCCAGTCAGTAGTGCGTCAAATCAATTAGCAATGTAGCAGCTCAACGAGAGAACCTATATCCCAAACCTAGACCTTGCAAGTGTTTAGATGTTTTCAACCTGAACATTGTTCGAATGAGTGCCCAATTTGTAGGAAAATTCAGATGGCTAAAGGAAAATTCATTTCTAAAATAAGAAAATACAAACAATGGCCCATTCTTTGAGGAAGAGGTTGAATATCTCCCAATAGATGATGGTGAAACAATATGTTGTGTGCTGGAGAGAAAGCTACTAGCCCCTAAAAAAACTTATTTATCTTAGTGGCATGCCACTTTTAGAACAAGATGTATAATTATGGAAATTTTTTGATTTGATTGTGGATAGTCGTTGTGCATAAAATGTGATGGCTAATTCAATGGTCAAAATTCTACAACTTCAAACTTTGAAACACCCAAATCCCTGTAAGATCAGTTGGATTAAGAAAGAAATTGATTATGTTACAATACTATGCAAAGTAAATTTTCCATTATAAAGAACTTTAATTGTGATGCTTTATGTTATGTAATTGAAATTGATGTGTGTCACCTAATCCTAGAAACCTCTTGGCCATTTAACATGGAGGCTTAGCATGATGACCATGTGAATGCATATGCTATTGAATGGATGGATACAAAAGTAAGTTTTTTGTCTACTACAATCATAAAGTTGCCACATATTAAAGATAAGTTGAAATATTCTGCTTATATCAATCTCTTGGGAGCACAATGGATTTCCACATGCAAGGAAGAGAATCAAATATTTTTTTTTACTGTTAACAAAACAAAATTTTGTCAAAATGCAAGTGCATCCTTCAGCCCAAACTTTATTATAATATCTCTCTAATGTCCTTCCTCTCGATCTCCACAATCAGCTCCCTCGTTTTTGGGTTGTTCAACATCACATATGTTTTATTCTGAGAGCAAATCTACTAATCTATCTTATTACCAAATATGCTCAAAGGAACATAAATTCCTACAAGAAATTGTGGATGACCCACTAAAGAAACAATGTATTTGGTATAATTTAAGTTCATGTGTAGTGCCCGTTCTTCTAAAAAAGTATATTGGAACTTGTGTATGGACAGATGAGTAATTAACAAGATTACTGTGAAATTCTTATCTCCGATAAGCCAGGAGTCATCCACTATATTCTTAAAATCAAACCTATGTACTGGTTAACACCAAATTCAAATTTGAATGAAAAATAACATTTAAAACAGAAGAAGATTTGTATGAATAGCAAGTGATGTCATTGAATTATGTAATGCTCCAAGCACTTTCATGGTGCTAGGGAATGAGGTACTAAAACATTTACTAGGTCATTTTTGTTATTGTTATAAGTTAGTATTATTTGTTTCTTTCTTTTCTAGATATTTCATAGTAAATGTGTTTTCTTGTTTATGTATTTCATTGTTTATGAGTTTTCTTTTAGCTCTATATAGTTAGTTATTAGGAATTAATTTAATCCTAAAGACTTGTATGTAATATTTTTCTATTTTATAACTCTTATATTATATATTTATACTCATTTTTATATCAATAAAATTATTCGATTTTATTCTCAAAATTTATAAGAAAAAATATTACATCAGAATTCCGAACGTAGAGCTACGTTCTGATTCAAATAATTAAGAATATCCTGTTGTATTCCATGAATATTTCATCTGCTTTATTTGTAAAAAATGAAATGTTATTTGAGTATTATATGATGTTATTCGATTATCTTGTGGTGTTATTGCAATTTTCCCCTGCGTCACTTGATTTGAGGCTGAAATGTTATTGAAATATTCTACCGAGTTACTTGATTTGGGTTGTGTCATTCCAATAACATAATGTAAATTGAAATAACTCGAGAAATATGCCGAATTACACAGCCTAAAATCAAATAATGCGGAAGAATATTCAAATAACAATGTAAAATAATCGAATAACATCATATAGTACTTGAATAATATTTTATTTTTTATAAATAATACACATAAAATATTCTTATAATATAACGGGATATTCCTCTAATTTTGGAGTCATGGTTTAATAATTTTACAAATTTATATAGTGTCAAATCAGAAGAAATTTCACCACCACCGAGAAGTTGTTATTCCTAACGCTCTACCTGTAAGTTCCGAGCCGTCGCTAGTCATTCCTACGGAAGCTAGCAGCCGGAATTCTCTTCCTTAGCAGCCGGAACTCCTTTCTAGCCGTCGTACCTCTCTCTCTGCAGGGCCTAGCCTCCAAAACTCATTCCTGTGGTTTTAACACGGCGAGGGCAGCCAGGCGGCCTCGAGGGCATTTGTGGTAGACTGGTGAGGTACATTCTCTTCGTACTTGGAGAATCGCTCAGTTTTTTCTCCAGGATCTTTCCTCTTCCCTTCGTAGTAGCTATCTGTTCACTATTCAGATGATGAGCACAGAAGATAATGAGGCGGCCATCAATTACATGGCTGAAAAGAGGTATGATCTGCGGAAGGTTTTCGATGCCCTCCAATCTTTTTCTTCCTCCTTCGTCTCCTTCACACTCTAGTGGAAGGACTTCGAGGACCACTTCTCCATTGACAAGTCGATTGAGGAGCGGTTCCGTGAACTCAACGAATTGGATAGCTCTTCATTGGTGAAGAATGCGACTGATACTCTACCGGATTCTGGGGTTGAGATGAACGGTAGTTGTGCCTCGTTTGGAGCTTAAGACCCTCTGCCTCAAAATGGACGGCAAGGGTCTGAGATCGTTCATCATTAATATCAGGAAGGGCATTGGGGCGATCCATGTGCAGGAGAGTATGCCATTTTTTGGACTTTTTTTTTTATACAAATCAGTCATAATTCCAATTTTCGCCATTGCTATCAACATCTTTGTTAGTTTTAGCCTTGCAGCCATTAATGGTATTGCAGTTGCTGCTTTTGGTATGCTGAACACGATAGCCACGGGTTTGGCTATAGATGCCAATGGTCCCATCCGCGACAATGCTGGAGGCATCGCCCAAATGGCTGTTATGAGCCACACTATTCAGGGAATTTTTATTCGGTACGTGCACCGCATGAAGCCTTACATGCGGTAAATAAGCTTTTTCATGTATTCCGACCCGACGTATCCCGCCCAAAACAAAAAAAAACGTTTTTTTGTCATTTTCGATTCCCGCCAACAGAAGAAAGTGACATTTTGTCTGCTTTAGGGTATTGGTATCTGGTATATTCTCATTTTTTCGCTCATGTTCGCTGGAGCTGGTTCGATGGAAAAAATTTTCGACGAAGAAATGTTGGTGGAATCTCAAAATACTCCTGAGAATCATAACAATGAGATGAAATCTCAGAATATTTCCGAGGATAATGAGGTGGAGCAGAGTTTAGATGCGGCAGAAGGGTATCGACAGGTAGATTTTTTTAACGAAGGATGTTTGAATACAGTTCTAGGTTTTAAGGAGTTATTTTATTGCTAATGAAGTTTGCTCTATTTTTGGATGAGTTTTAACGCTAAGTTTCGGTTGGGTGGGATGTGGTGTTATTTAGGAAATATTAGTTGGGGTTTGATGTTATTTTGATAGTATCTGGCATCATAATGTAAAGAATCTGGAGGATTTGGTGTTATTTTGGTAGTATCACAGTGTTATTTTGGTAGTATCATAATGTAAAGCTAATGTCTTGAGGATTTGGTGTTATTTTGGTCGTACCACAGCGTTATTTTGGTGGTATCATAATGTAAAG